AAAATTCAATTTCAAAACAAGTTGCCGCTCCTACAGTTTTCTAGTATGTAAAGATGATTTCACATGACCTATGCAACATATCACACTCAATACATGTGTGTCTCTGGGGGGTGCATTGTGCCTTTGATGTATATAAATAATATACCATAACCAAATACTATTACGTACAGTGGAAATCAGGTTGCCAGAGCAGGTCAGTGTGCATGTTCCTCAACGTCTCAGCAGTTACAGGTGAGGTAAAGAAAATAAAAGAGAAAAAGATCAGTAACAACACTTTAAAGTAACAATTTGAATAATTATCTCTTCTAACAATTTTCTCTCAATAAGCACACAACGACTGTCTTTCCAACGAACAGATTGTCATCACAATGAAACACGTCCAGAAGAATGTCATGCAAAGCTCCATGCCTGCCTTCGACTCTCCCTGAACTGCTTCCTTAGCACCCGGTGGAGGGCGCAGTAGGCTACTCTTCAAAAGTTTCACGAAATACTTACCATCATGTTTGGTTACTGTTTAACATTTTGGTTTACTTCATGTAATAAAATAATAACTTCATGGTAAGGCTACTAAAAATGACAAGGCTAAGTAATGTAATGCTAACTAACGTGCTCGCTACTCGTCGCTACTAGCTAGGTAGCTAACTTGACTATGTTCCATGCACAACATGTATATTACCTATGATATTACCTGATATGTCTGATCCAGCGACTCCTGGTCCTTTCATCAGACGGGAATCGATAGAAGGAGCAAGTGGTATGATCACTTTTATGACTACAACCTGGTACAAAGCACACAGGCATCTTGTAAAAGTGAATTTATTTTTAGCGATCTATAATTTATTGGAGGGAATAAATCAGTTATGAGATCTTCTTCTTCTTCGCTTTAATTACGAGTCTTATTATAAATCACCGCGCATGCCTGTGACATCACTTACGCGACCCAGAATGGGATTTGTAGTCTTTGTTGTAGCGTATTTGTCATAGTCTTATATTTCAGCAGTTTTACGACAAAATGTGACTTTTTTGACATGGAAATGATTGTTTAAGATTGACAAACATCATATGTGTAGTTCGTGGCACAATTCAAACGGGATCAAAAGATACTTGTTCTCTCTCCATTGAATTCAATGTAAATTTTTCGCTTCCGGGGTCCCATGGTCCGGAAGTAGATGGGCGTGACTTCGCCTCTCCATAGAGACACAGGCCACCTGTTGTGTGCTGTGACAGTCTCTCTCTGTTTACCTGTGTATAGAGGCTTCTCAATACTCAAATGTCCCCTCCTCGACTCCCCTCCTCGGTTCCCCTCCTCGATACTTAGACCCGCCCACAGGAGATGTGAGCGGAGGACCGAGGAGGGGAACCGAGGAGAGAGGAGGGGAAGCAGCAGGCGTTTAAAGAAATGAGAACTCCTCTCCTCTGAGCGGTCATATTAAAGCGACGTCCGTTCATTATAGAGGCTTCTCAATACTCAAATTTCCCCTCCTCGACTCCTCGGTCCTCGGTCCTCCGGTAGTGACCCGGAAATGAATTTCAGCGCGCCATTTTGAAGGACCTCTCATTTCTCTAAATGCACACCGAGGACCGAGCGTCGAGGAGGCTCTCTGGAGGAGCTATAACCGAGGATACACTGATGGTTCCTCCACGGCTCCTCCACGGATGCATTTCCGGGAACGGTGGAGGCGTGACGCACGGCCGGACTTATCTCAGCCAATGACAGCTATGCATGCATCCCCTGGATATTATTTTAGAAACTGCTTTCATCGCGTCGCGATGTTTCCAGAGAGAACAGCTGTACGGTCCATGCAGAAAGCAGAGCAGTGTGTATAATATATATCACTCAGTATAACAGGCCTACTCTCTTTATTTGCTTTAGTTTAGTAGATATCTACAAACAGAGTCGATATCTTTCCAAGACCATTGCTTCACATAATAAAATACACAACGGCTTATGCTTTTGGAGCTGTAGGTGTGTGTGGTACAGTGTGTAGGTGTGTGTGTGTGTGTGTGGTACAGTGTGTAGGTGTGTGTTGTACAGTGCGTAAATGCGGCGGACAGACGGGTCTCAGTTGGTTTGGTGTCCTCTGCTTACTTTTAATAGGCCTACTTGTAAATACAACTTTTGGCCCGTAATTTCAATTCCCCATTTCAGCGACCAGAGAGAGGGGGGGATATATCCAGTCTCTGATTGTGTTACGTTATTATGAGAGTGCTCTCATACTTTAAATTGTATATATTTATATAAATATATTTGTGTGTCCGCATCTGTAGCCTGTTATTGTCTCATTATACCGCACTCTCAATGAATTCAAAGTAAATATGTGGGGGAACAATGTTCAGCTGATCTAACAGAGATACAGCGCTATGACAAAACACTCGACAGCTGATGCAGCTGTTGCCACGTAATAATGAACGGACGTCTCTTTAAAATGACCGCTCAGAGGAGAGGAGTTCTCATTTCTTTAAACGTCTGCTGCTTCCCCTCCTCTCTCCTCGGTTCCCCTCCTCGGTCCTCCGCTCGCATCTCCTGTGGGCGGGTCTAAGTCTCGAGGAGGGGAACCGAGGAGTGGAGTCGAGGAGGGGAAATTTGAGTATTGAGAAGCCTCTATTATTGTGGCAACAGCTGCATCAGCTGTCGAGTATTTTGTCAAAGCGCTGTATCTCTGTTAGATCAGCTGAACATTGTTCCCCCACATATTTACTTTGAATTCATTGAGAGTGCGGTATAATGAGACAATAACAGGCTACAGATGCACAAATATATTTATATAAATATATACAATTTAAAGTATGAGAGCACTCTCATAATAACGTAACACAATCAGAGACTGGATATATCCCCCCCTCTCTCTGGTCGCTGAAATGGGGAATTGAAATTACGGGCCAAAAGTTGTATTTACAAGTATTAACTTGTAATAATAATAAGCCACTTACAATTTTCCGTGAGATCAGGTAGCAGATATAAGATGGAAGTTTCCCTAACATACAAAGCCATGTTAGGGAAACTTCCATCTTATATCTGCTCCCTGATCTCACGGAGAATTGTAAGTGGCTACTGCCTGAGATCGAATGCTGTGGTTTTATTAAATGTGCCAACTGCTAGGACTGTCTTAGGGAAGACAGCTTTTAGATGCGCAGCTCCTCTGTCTTGGAATAGTCTGCAAATTAAATGGAAACTGAGCAATCTGGTGCCACTAAATGTTTTTAAAGCTCGGTTGGATGCTAGTCAAGCTATTGCTACCTGTTTATGTAGATAATTATGTAAATGATGCTGAATGATGTCCTTTTGTTGTTCTATTTATGTTGTTATGTTTCATGTGGAACTACTTGAGCAGGTCTGCCTTGAAAAAGAGATCAATGATCTCAATGGGATTTATCTGTATAAGCCACTGCTCATATGCATCTCCCTGACTCTGCGCTCTGCTGGCGGCGAACGCAGCTTCTCCTGTCTCCGTCGCATCAAGAATTATCTAAGAAACAGCAGTGGTGATGCACGGAACAGCAACCTGGGCCTGCTGGCTAATGGCTATCAATAAGCAGAGGAGTAAGGCACTGGATGTCCAGCGTGTCATTTACATTTTCGCTTCCAACCACAACAACCGGCGGATCGTGCTGCTTTGAGAACGTCAATAGTAAGTTTTGAATATATTTGGTAATAATGGGTCATTTGAAAAAGTGGCCACCTGTTGTGTGCTGTGTCTGTCTCTCTCTGTTTACCTGTGTCTGTGTCTCTCTCTCTGTCTCTCCCTCACTCTCTCCCTCTCCGTGTCAATTCTATATGCCAACTTTTCTTGTTTCTGCCGCTGCGTAGCATGCTGTAACAACGTGGAATTAGCAGAATAGGCTATTGTATTGTTTAACTCACACCTGTTGCTCTCGATGTAATTTAGCTGATAAAAGCTAATAAAAGCCTCACGCGTGTTGTTTCACTGTCAATGGGTGCGATCGTGCGATATCGCGTGTATGTAATATTACATTAGGCTACAAATACTGACTTGAGCCCCACCACTGTATGGGTTAGCCCTACCATAGACTACCCAACAAAAATACTCTGGCGCCGCCACTGTACATCATGTAGCATAAAGATATGATTTCAACAAAACAGATACCTCAGTCACTGCAGACATAATATCACGGTGCAGTAAAATACAACATTTCCTGTAGAAGAATAAAGTAACGTATATGTAAATTACCGCAATAATTTGTCAGGGATGAGCAGAGTAGGTATGACCCAATTGCGGGACAGACAATGGTTTGAATGGAAAATACCTTTATTTAAAGGCTCAATACCTAAAACAACAAACAGATCTGACTCAAGAATCCGACCACATCCACCAACAGAAAACCAGAACTTAAATACATGCAGAACTAATCAGAGGACAAGACACAGCTGGGCAGGGTAGGACAAACCCAAGGGCACCAGGTGAAGAGAATCAAGACCTATAGTTAGGCGGGTTTTTTTCAAACACATTGGTGGTCCAGAGGTCTATGCCTTGGTTTTTCATGCAGGTGCTTGAGGTTCAGCATCCAGGAGAGGGACATATTTTGTCTTCTGCTATGCTGATGTTGAATCTGGAAAATCGTCCCTACCACTTTTTCTAACAAAGTGACGCCCATGCATTACACTTCAAGTTATTTCTATCAATTCATGCTATGTTTGCATGGGTTTTATAGGAAAGTAATGTCAGCGTTGATTTGTTGTCTCATTTGCTGCTCATGAGTGCACTGATACTGTATTTCTTTAGTTGAAAAGTTGGTTCAAATATTGTTTCCAAACCCAGAATTAAGCTACAACAATTCAAAGAAAAAAAACAAAAGATCCTTTGAATTTAAACTTTTTATTTTTATGTGCACAACCGGACATTTTCCAATAAAGATACATTTCAAATTAACATTGAAGATCTACACCCCTTGACAATATTTCTTACAATAACTGTCTCAAAGTCTCATCTTTATGTGTCTTTTAGCAGATCTTGAAGGAAGTCAGTTTGAAGTCTCCTGCGATTCGGACGTAGTTGATGACGTCCACGTTCTCACGGTTTGGAAACTGCAGCTGCTGTCCGTCAGGAAGCTCCACCTCAAACACGTCTCCAGCCAGCGTCAACTCCAGCTGAAATAGAAAAGATTATAAGAAAGGAATCTGAGAAAATCTAACAACGCTCCCAAAAAAACTGAAATGGTTGATGTAATCTGGTTTAGGAAATGCACTTCAAGAGAAAACGACTCCATTGGACTCATTAATGTCACTATGTAACTCTGGCTTTTAACTATTGGCTAGCGCTCCAACACATTGTATATGATAGGCTAAGGGGCGGGACATCTCTAAGAGGTTGACCAATCACAACAGAGCCAGCCAGCTAACCAATCAGAGCAGACTGGGCTCTGGTTTCAGACAGAGGGTGAAAAGAGGTGCTGCAGCACAGGCAGTATGAGAAAAATAAAGAGCTTTTTGAACATTTAAGCATGGACCCATGTAGTAGAGACACTACATACTGATATGAACCTCAGTGTTCCTCACCTTGATCACTCTTCCCGGTGTAGAGGGTTGTGTGTGTCCCGGACCTCATCGCCCCAAGACCCACCAGTCTTTGAGTTGCAAACAATAACGGAACCATCAGCATCGTCATCAAAACGGGGATTAAAGTGCAGCGCGATGTCGTCCGTACCACAGCCCAGCTCGATCTTGAATCTGGATGGATCAGAGATTATAAACAGAGGTTTAATATTATATAATCACAAGGCTACTTTAATAGAAATGTGGTTTAAAAAGGTGTGGAAATGTAACCTTTAAGAAGTATTGTCATACTAAACAGATGTTTTAGTATAGTATCAAATGTTTTATAACACTGCAAGATAAGGGTTTTAGGAAAATAACAAAACTGACCTGAAGTTAACAGGAAGAAAAAAACATACTTACAAAAGTATTTTTTTTCCACACTCATAAGAAGGTGATAAAAACAACATCCGTACAATTTATTGTTGTTTTCCAGTACCCCTTTAAAATGTCCTATGTCACTCAGTCTAGGGCGCTGACTTGTAGGATGAGCCTACTTGCAAGAATTTAAGATCCTTAATAGGATTACTAAACAAATATTGTGTGCATTTATTGTTCACCCATCATTCTCTTAAGTTGCAACAAAACAAGTTATTCAAGTTTTAAAAGTATTTTCTTTCCAGAATGCATTTATTAATGCATATGACCATATTATCATATTTAGTTTAAAAGGTTGTACTAAATATGTTTTGTGTGTTTGGTTTGCTTACCTCTCGGCATCATGCTGAATGATCCCCTTCACTTTCAGCCTGTCTCCGGCTGTCAGGCTCAGATGCTTCATTTCAAGTAGCTGAGAAACACAGAAATTAAAGTTTTAAAACAATTTATTGGGGAAATTACAGAAGGCTGTTTGTCATAATAGTATTAGAGTTGTATTCAACCAATTGCAGGCTGCAAACACATACTCTGTTCATAAGGCAGTACAGTTAAAGACAAAACAAAGCAGATGAACTTACCATGGTGATTTTGGGTGTTAGTTAACACTGCAGCTGATGGAAGATTTTCTTTCTGCACTGGAAGACAACATGTAAGTAGTAAGAAGACTGTGAAGTTTCTCTTAATTTATAATGTGAAGCACAAAGGACTCAGCAATGTGGCTCGTTCATCATCATCATCATCATCATCATGACTATCAAGAAGCCCATTCAATGCAGAGGCTCAGCTCTCTTTAATCACTGCTGTTGGACTAATATTGAAAATGAGATTAATCACAGAGAGGACTTTGAGTAGCAGCTGCCCCTGTGATACTGTGATGTGTTTATAAAACTACTCTGTCAAGAACTTTGAAAAATATATCAAGATTGGGAGCCATTGTTTCCATTGAGGAGGGTCTGCAATGCATTATAGATTACATTGGAGCACAAGCACCACCTTCTGTAATATACTCTACTACTGTATTCAAATACTCTGCTATGATAATCTGCATGTTTAAACATATTGATTATTTGGCAGTTTAAGTGTATTTTATTGTAATAACTTTGTATGCTTTCAACTACTTCCATGCCTTTATTCATAAACCTTTCTGCTTGGTACACATGGGTTGTCAAACTTTAGAACTGCAAGACTTAAAATTCGTCAAGCTCGTCACTGTAGAGAAACCACTTCTGTTCCGGTTAATTACAAAATAAAAGGTAATGTAACCTGTAACAAACTAAACTAATTAAATAAGAGGTTACACGTCTTTAAATTAAAAACCTCTACCACCGACACGAGTTAGGATAAAACATGAGAGTTAGGTGGCTAACGGGAGTAACAGTTTATAGAGCTAACAATGCTACAGTGCTAGGAAACAATTTCAGGAGCATCAGTCAATGTTATTGTTCGCCCAGTCCTGAAATGCGCTATTAAGCTGCCTCTATCGTCAAATATCTCACAATGTGTCCGTTGTAGTTTCCATATAAGACTGACACTGGGACATTAGGGGAATATGGACCGATAATTGTCTCGAAATGCTTCAGTTCGACCATTTCGAAAGGAAATTGCAGTTCCACCTTTTGGCCATAAGATGGCGGTAAAACTCGCGATTCTAATGTCTGCCCCAACGAAAGGGTGAAGATTACGGTTAAAAAAGTGCTAGCTCGAGTACACCAATTGGTCACGTGACGATCATCTAATCCCCATCATGTCTCACAAAAGAGTCTTTAGAATAAATGAACCTTTATTTATATATGTTACATGTCTATTTATCTATGCAGAACATGTTTTTTTGTGACCATTTCAGTTATTCAATTGCTTAATTGTGTTACTGGAATTTACCGATGGTGGGATTATGTTACCATTTAATCTGTATATTTACGCCAGTTCGACCTCATTTTGTTTTGTTAATTAATAAAGGAAACAATCCAAAAACATTTAAAATGTAAAAAGTCCCTCCCTATGACCACTTCCGCTATTATCCCGGCAGTGACGTCAGAGAAAGTAAACAGAGGAGTTGTCAGTGGATCCAGAAATTGAATTAAAAGATAATTTCGTCAAAGGGGGGCGGTTTATGAACACTGAGGGACACTTGAATGACAACCCTGTGCACAAATATAATTAAGGTAAATTATTTACGACGTGTTAACGTTTCTGAACAAACGACTTCTGCTCTTCCACCTGCAGTAGCCAACAGTAGCAGCTAATGTTAGCATGCAATTTCCCCTGCTTTTGGCGTACGTCAGTATATATAGATATTACACATGTTGTTTTTAGATCATAAGTCGATGTGTTTAGTTTAAATGTTGCACGTATTCAGAATAAGTTACCAGGTGAACATCAGGTAGTTATTATGAACTGTTAGTCACCAGCTGTTTGTCCACCTGCTGCAGCTCTGAGATCAGTTACAGCGAACAAAGCTCTTCTGTCCTGCTTTATTTAGAGCTTTCATCATTGTTATAGACACTGTATTTTCCATCCCGATTAGCTTACTTAAAGGACTTTTATTTTGTACCTGTAGCTCGTGAAACAGCTGCTCAAAGTGATATGTCTGTTTGCATTTGACCAATCCTCCTACCTGATTTTAATGCAGTGGTTTTTATGTTGATGATTCACAGGTTGACCAGGGACAGTGACGCTGCACTGTGATGTTCACAGACATGGACTATGAGCTGGAGGAGGACAAACTGTGAGTAATAATAACGTGTTTCCTTTTTGTAATCTGAGCCATTCAATGTGTGTTATCCTTAAATAGTCACTTCATATAAAGACAAAAACAGTCGCTAATAGTGTGACTCCTGATATGGACTTAATACTCATTCTTCTCATTACTTATACACTTTTTAAGCTTTACAATAAAATGCTTGACTACTAAGAATTGTGCAAAAACATGAACACTAAAATGCTACAAAACTCAATGTGGTGCGAGTCGATATGGAGAAAATCAGATGTCTCGATATCCATATTTCAACGATATTGCAGGGTTGACTATTGGTGCTTTGGCATATTAACATAATGACATTTGGGGAAAGAAATCATCAGTAATGTGGATATAATGGCAGATGCTTAAACAGATGTCTGGTTCATTCAGAAAATGACATGCTTTACTGTAATGCAGCCGTTAAAACCACGATAACACATAAGCAATGTCCTAAATCCAGGAAGATATCTAGTTTCATATCACGGTATCTTTGTAGAATTAATATATTGCCCAGTTGTTTTTGAATGTATCATGTTTTCTCCTCAACAGGGGGATACCAACGGTACCTGGTACTGTGGTTCTGAAGAAAGACCCTAATAACCTGATTGGGATCAGCATTGGAGGAGGAGCTCAGTACTGTCCGTGTCTCTACATCGTCCAGGTAGGAACACAGCAAGTGATTATAACCCTGTTTATGAATCAGCACATTTCTATGAAGTTTAAAATGAAAAAAACATAAATCTGTGTCATTGGTGTAGTAAACAAACACTCAACAACCATGCTGGAGACTTTGTAAACATCTGGAACCTCACCATACACATGTGTTTTGGAGCTGCAGTGAAATGCAACCTTTCTGGGACTGTGTACACTGTGTTCTCTGCAAGGTATTAGGCTATAGAATCCCTCGAACCTGTCTGGTATTATACCTGGGACATATGGGAGGATCTGTCGGTGTGATATCCTAATAATGGAGAAAATCACATACAAGTTTAAAGTAATGGAAGACACATTTCTTAAGGGCTGGGGAAATGGTTAAGGTACATATCAACAAAGGAGTCATAGTAGATCGTCTCCATACAGGCACTGTTCTCTTTGAAATGTAATATTTATTTGTGTGTGAAGAAAACAATAAAAGAAAGTAAAACATACATCTGTGTCATTGGTACCTTTTTTTTAAATGAGGATTGTGTTGTCTCCCAGGTGTTTGATAACACCCCCGCAGCTCTGGATGGGACAGTGGCGGCAGGCGATGAGCTCACAGGCGTGAACGGGAAGCCAGTGAAGGGAAAGACCAAAGTGCAGGTGGCCAAGATGATCCAAGCTGTGCAGGTAACACCGACGCAATGATTTACAGTCCGAACAACACCAGGAGCAGAGGGTTCATCATTTCACTTTTAGATCATGATGTGGTTACAAAGTCTAGTTTTGGACCACATTCTTCTCTGTTAGTGATTAGGGAAGTATTTGCTTTAACTAAGATACAAATTCAACCCAATAATCCAAAGCAGCTAACCGTGCTTTGTGGCTGTGAGTTGGCTTTTCCCACATCATGCTCTCGGGGTTAAATATTCTCTTATGTTCACATTCAGAAATCATTTGTTCATCCCACAGCTGGGACATTCTCACAAGTTATAAAGTGTATATGAAAAGGATTATTCCTCAACTGTGGAATAACTTTTCAGAAAAAGCTTCCGATATGTTCTATTGGTTTCAAAGTGTAAACATCAACCTAACGTCACACCACCAGTGTCTTTAAATACATTAAAACTGAATTTAATCACATTTGAATATACAGAGTAACATGGAAAAGGATGAAAACATTACCCACAGTTTTGTGTCCCGTCTCGGCTGCAGGCGGATCAGTGAATAGTGGGACAGTTGACTTATTATGGGTGCAAACACTAAAAGCAGGATAAAGTCAACGCTGCAGAGCGGCTGTGTTGTTTCTGCCCTCCATTGTTCGCACCCAGAAAAATGTCATGACCTCCTGCATGTTGGATTAAAGACAGAGTGCGCTGTGGGATTTCATGGATTATATTCTGCTGTCAGTGCAAATAAATGTGCACGTGAGTTTCACCAGTGGCATTTATTTACACATGTTTTTGGTCATGTGTTTCTTTATTTGATGTTTATTTATTTCATATAAACAATTTTCTTGTTCCCACACACATTTCTTATTGCAATTATTACTTTTTTTAATATAATTTCACATATTTTATTTATGCCTATAACTGACTCTGTTCTTGCTGTATATATTTTTAATATATTGCTAACAGTTGTTCTCATTTTAATTATTTATTGTTAAATCAAAATGTTGAAAACATATTTATGTTTTCAAATTATTTTTTGCCATATAAAACATTTACACATCATCCATTTTTACCACATCTAACAGAATACTTCCTTGTATTTTATGCGATGATTTTAGATTTTTGTCAAATACAATGAATACAAAAGAGACTTTACTTTTTATAGAACTGGTTGACTTTAAGATAAATTAAGTTTATTTGTTGTTGTTGATCTCCGGTTATGTTTCCACAGGGGGAAGCAGTCATCCACTACAACAAACTGCAGGCAGACCCCAAACAGGGAAAGTCTCTGGATATAGGTACACACACACACACCACACACACACACACACACACAGACACACACAGACACACACTCACACCATGTATGCATCACTTCAGGGGACATTACATTGACTTACATGCATTTCCTGGAGACTTATCCTAACCTTAACTATAACCAACACATGCCTAACCCTAACCCTAATCCTAGACCTAACCAAGTCTTCACCCTAAAATGAATGATTCCCCTTATGGGGACCTCCATTATGTCCCCATAAGGGAGGTGAGTCCCCACACGTGACTGTGTAAACAGATTTAGGTCCCCACAAGTATAGTAATGCTAGGCCACACCCACACACACACACACACACACACACACACACACACACACACACACACACACACACACAATGACACAGACGGACAGACAGTCCTTCACACACACACACACACACACACACACACACACACACACACACTACTATAGCATACATGTTAAATATTGTAATCCAATGTTTTAAACACATGTTTGTGTTTCAGTGCTGAAGAAAGTGAAACACCGCCTGGTGGAGAATCTGAGCTCCGGCACAGCTGATGCTCTGGGACTCAGTCGAGCGATTCTATGTAACGGTAAGATCATTATTAGGATCATTGTGAAATCTTTAGGGATTCTTATTTAGGTAAATATAAAGCTATACTTGTGTGGATTTAATTTGCTTCACAGACGGACTGGTCAAAAGACTGGAGGAGCTGGAGAAGACAGCAGAGCTCTACAAAGGTCAAATAAATCAACTAAACAATGTGATTATTTTAAATCTGATGTTGAATGTTATTTGTTTTAACAAATGTCTCATTATTCTGTTTGCCTGTAGGTCTGATGGAGCACACGAAGAGACTACTCCGAGCTTTCTTTGAGCTTTCTCAAACACACAGAGGTGAGTTACGGCGATCAAAATTAGAAAGTATAAACGCTAAACAGTTTGTTAAAATCATTTTGACCTTTGACATGTACTAGAGAAAGAAGAAAACACATGAGAATGATATTTTTTAACCTCTACCTTGGGTGTGTAGTTGATTGATTTGATTTCATTCACATGTGCTTGCCTCCTGATTTAACATGTTAGTCTACCTTTTGTCTGCACAGTCTCTTTTACTGTAACCGTGTAAACATTCCTGCTGTTGGACGAATAAAGGATTTCTGATTCTGAAATGCTGCTTTACCGCACCGTTGTGACGAAAAGGGAGCTGAGCCAGAAGGCAAAGCTCTCTGTCTACCGGGCCATTTTCGTTCCTCCCCTCACCTATGGTCATGAAGGATGGGTCATGACCGAAAGAACGAGACCGCGGATACAAGCGGCCGAGATGGGTTTTCTCCGCAGGGTGGCTGGTGTCTCCCTTAGGGATAAGGTGAGAAGTTCGGTCATCAGGGAGGGACTCGGAGTTGAGCCGCTTCTCCTTCGCGTCGAAAGGAGCCAGTTGAGGTGGTTCGGGCACCTAGTTAGGATGCCACCTGGGCGCCTCCCTAGGGAGGTGTTCCAGGCACGTCCAGCTGGGAGGAGACCAAGGGGTAGACCTAGGACCAGGTGGAGGGATTATATCTCTTCGCTGGCCTGGGAGCGCCTTGGGATCCCCCAGTCAGAGCTGGAAGTTTGGGGCTCTCTGCTGGAACTGCTACCCCCGCGACCCGACCACGGATAAGCGGGAGAAGATGGATGGATGATTCTGAAATCATCCTAATGGATTTAGTTTTATTGTCTTATGTATCTGATTGGTATTTGGAAATGTTCCCCTGCAGCGTTTGGCGATGTGTTCTCGGTCATCGGGGTTCGAGAGCCTCAGGCTGCAGCCAGCGAGGCTTTCGTGAAGTTTGCAGACGCTCATCGCAGCATCGAGAAATACGGCATCAAGCTGCTGAAGACCATCAAACCTGTGAGTACAGATCAACGTCTGGCTTTGAAGCACTCACTGAAAACATCAAGATCTCTAGATTGTTTTTTGAAATGCTCCTTATCAAGCATCATGTGTTGTTATTTAGATGCTCCACGATCTGAACACATATCTTCACAAAGCCATTCCCGACACGAAGCTCACCATCAGGAAGTACCTGGACGTGAAGTTCGAGTATCTGGTAAGGTGGAAACATGTGTGTAAATCTGTTCAACAATTGTATTCGTCAACAGAGAGACTGCATTGATTTGTTGTGTCTTTCAGTCGTACTGCCTGAAGGTGAAGGAAATGGATGATGAAGAATACAGCAGCATCGTGAGTTCTCATTTTCATTCTTTTTGAAATAACTTTAATTAACTAACGTCTTCTAAGGATAATAAATAAATATCACAGAACCAAATCAAATAAAAAAGGAGGTATATAAAGTGTTGATGATGGGGGATTGGGATGGGGGAGGAGCGTCTGTTTTATTTCATTTATTTATGGGATAGATTGAAGTATGTTATTTGACAGAGTTTGTATTTGTGGTGAAGCTTACTCAGTTTATTTTAAAAGCTTATTTTTTTCATGTCCAAAATGTGTTCGATTGTCGATGGCATGAAATTAACGTTGAGTTTGAGTGTTTCCAAGGCCTTGTCAGATGCCATTTTTGTGTATATAATATTGTGTACAATGTGTGTCTTGCTGCAGGCCATGGGGGAGCCGCTGTACCGGGTCAGCACCGGGAACTACGAGTACCGTCTGGTGCTGCGGTGCCGACAGGAAGCCCGCGCCCGCTTCGCCAAGATGAGGAAGGACGTTCTGGAGAAGATCGAGCTGCTGGACCAGAAACATGGTCTGTTGTGGTTTTATTAAATATCTTTTAAAGTGTTTGTTTCATGTTTGTCAGTGTGCGAGTCCCTCTCTTCTCCATGTCTCTTCTAACATCAACATGTGTCCCCTCTTCTTCATGTTCTCTTCTACATCAACATGAGTCCCCTCGTGTCTTCTCCGATGTCTCTTCTACATCAACTTGTGTCCCTTCTTCTTCATGTCTCTTCTACATCAACATGTGTCCCCTCTTCTTCATGTCTCTTCTACATCAACATGTGTCCCCTCTTCTTCATGTCTCTTCTACATCAACATGTGTCCCCTCTTCTTCATGTCTCTTCTACATCAACATGTGTCCCCTCTGTGGAAAGAGATTCTGAAAGTTTCAGGAAAAAGATTCTCTCTCTTTTTGTCCTGATCCATTTCTATAGAAACCTGTCTGAAAATGAGCTGATCAGATTTTGGCCACTTTGTGATGTCATAACGATGTTTTGGCTTGTGTAACCATTAGCCAATCAGCAACCAAGGTAACCCCCCCCCCCCCCCCCCACCTTATCGCCTGAGTCTCCTCCTAGAGCAGTGGTTCTCAAACTTTTTTCACTCATGTACCCCCTTTGAACATTTGCCAAGCAACGCTTATTGTTTAGGTGTCCTTTGATAAGCAGGCAGTTTTATAATTAACTAGAACTAGCTAGATCTGATAGATTTGGACATAGACGCGAGTGAAGTCTAACCGGACGCGAAAGAGAGATCAGAGATCAGATCAGCTGCTGCTGACGGAGAACACGCAGCTCTGCATGATCACAGCTCCGCCGCTGTGACGGACCGTTGAGCCGAGCAAAAATACACTTAGAGTTAGACCTAACACACTTAGCTAGTTTATCTACTCTGGAACTAGCTAAACTAGTTATAAATATATTTATTTTTTATTGTCGGTCACTTATTAGAGGTTCAGCGAGCTGCACAAGACTGACGGGCTGTCAGGAGAGGGAGAGGAAAAGAGAGCACCCCGTTTATTTTTCCCATTTTATTATCCAGAATTACTGTAAACCTTTGAATCAAGTAGTTAAACTACTATTAGTAGTTTGTGTAAATGCATGTGTGTATGAATTATTATATATTTTCATTAACATAAAATAAATCTCACGTACCCCTGCAGTACTCCAACGTACCCCTAGGGGTCCGCGTACACCCATTTGAGAACCACTGTCCTAGAGCACCATTGAGTTCTCTGTAACCAAATCTCTCAGAGGGGCGTGGGGAGGGGCTCCTTATTTTCATCTAAAGTAACAGACAGAGAATCAGCACTTTGGAAACAGGGCTGAAACAGAGGGGATTATGGGTAATGCTGCAATGATCTGTTTGGTGTTTCAGCCAATCAGAGACAGGCTCTGTATATATCTGAGACCTGTAATATATTGATGAATAACAGTATAATAGGAGACCTTTGACAAAGATGTCCCACCCTCTCCCTCCTCTTCCTCCTCTTCCTCCTCTTCCTCCTCCACAGTTCAGGACATCGTGTTCCAGCTGCAGCGCTTCGTCTCAGGAATGTCTCATTATTACGACGAGTGCTACGCCGTCCTGAAGGAGGCGGATGTCTTCCCCATCGAAGTGGACCTCTCCCGCACCACCATCAACTACGGCAGCCAGTCGTCGTACACCGGAGAGTATGAGGAGGAAGAGGAGGAAGAGGAGGAGGAGGGAAAAAGAGAAGAGGAAACAAGACAGGCAGAGAACGGCGCTGAGAAACTGATCGATGACGAATGAGTGAATGGAGAAGTCCATTCCTATAACATAGCTCTTCACTGTATATCAACGCACTCACCAAGCAGCGACCTTTACGGTGGTCGACCAGTGCAAACGTGCTACAACGGCCCAAAACATTTCCATTAGGAGAAACACGCTGCAGCTCCAGAAATTACGTAAATATAAAACCACAAATGTGCCAAAACACACACATCTTCACCAACTTGAGGAAACCGCCGCTTAAACGTAGCACTGCAAGAAGCGCGAAACAACAGAAAAGGGGGACACTAAAAAGTGATGCACGCTTGGGATTATGGGATTATGACTGTTTCATAATGACAAAAGTGGTTTGTCCGTATATTTGAAATGTCTAGGTTAGCTACGTTAGCAAACTAGTTTACAGCAGATCTGTAATAATATGTGACCACATTGTTCAAATAAACCGATACAACTTTTAAGATAAAGATAGGACTTTATTCATCCCGAAGGAAATTGTTGTGCCAGAGTTACAAAAATACAATAAACACAGCAGCACAATAATAATAAAAAGAGCAATTCAATATCTACAGGAAACATTAAGGTACGTTTCCAGTGATAGTTGGCACATTTTAAAATCCCCAAATGCCAACAAGAGCTCCGGTCCCTGCTGTGTGCGCCACTTTTTAATGTCCCTGTTCCCGTTGCGTTTTGAGCTTCTCGCTATGTTTTTGTATTTGCAGCGTTGCGTTTATGCAGCGCTTTTAGGGAACGTATGTTTCGTCAAGTTGATCAAGATGTTTCTTCATGTGTTTTGGCACCTTTGTGTTTTTTTATTTGCATCGTTTGTTTCTTCGAATGGAAATGTTCCGGGGCGTTGTAATGTTTTTGCACCTGTAGGTCATCCGTAGTTCTTTGTATTGAATTACAGCAGTTGAAATGGATGAAGGTGAATACTACTGCTGTAATGCTATTTGTTGGTGGTGTTTTCTTTCTGGGATACTCTCAAATCAACAGCGTTTGTGATTCTTTTTCACTTTAATTTAATTTTGAATCTGAATGCTTTTAAGGATTTAATTTTCAGTAAGATTTATATGCATATCTGGTGTGCCTTCTTAGCTCTTAATGAAGTGTTTCAATGTTCATATTGTTGTGGATTGTATAAGTTATTCCTTTTATATTTGCTTTTTCATTTTATTTTTTGAAAAGGGAACTATCTACTAACTACCTAAAATGATGTTTATTGGTTAATGTCAAGTGGCCCTTTCTCCTCAGCTTAACAGACAAAATGACTGGATAAATATTATGAAATCTGGAGGTGTTGATGAAGAAGATGACTGAAGCAGACTTCATTTTATTCCTACATGAAGACTTTGTTACATTCCTTTATCCCCTCTTTTTTTCCGTTTCACCTGCTGCTCGATTTAAATTCAAATACGTTCATTTGTATCCTGTAACACACTGGCATTGCTCACTTCTTCATAACAGCACGTTTCTGTTTAGGAGGAGAAGGGAGGAATGTACACACAGAGCTTTACCACTGTGTGGAAACAATAAATACTGCAAACACTACATGTCCTGTAAATAAGTGTGTACAAAGGGAAATGGTGTAAAAACAGTCCGTGTACGTATCAATTGTTTTTCCTCTCCTAAACCAGTAAATGGAAAAGCAACATCATTTGTTTTGTGTTTTTTTTTTCTCCCTTACAGATAAAACTCAAGAGCATAACATCAGATCTCAGCAGTAAAACAGCATACATCACACATTTGGTTAATTAGCTCAAACCCTGAGAAAGAGTGATAGGTATATTTATGTATTCGCTATTTATATACCACAAAAGTCTCATTATTTTAAGGAAGACATTTTAAAAAGTGTTTGTCAGGGTTGCAATTTATACTTTATTTAATGTATATATAAATGAACTTGTTGTTCAGTTGGATCAATGTGCTGCTGCTGGGCTCTCCCTCCATAGTTAGGTGAAGTTTCAGATGCTGATGATCTTGTTCTATTGTCTCTAACTGAACAACAACAACAAGAGCAGCAGCAGCTAGATATAATACAAAAGTACCGTAAGAACTGGCAGTAAATATGAAGAAAACGTAATGATTTTCCACAAAACACCCCAGAGGATAGTAGAACAAATACCAGTTTTTCATAAATAACAAGAATAAAAGTTAGCAACATGAAATTAAGTATAAAGTATTTACAGATGATTTTGGTTATAAATCTCTCAAATGACCAAATAGTAGTGAACAAGTAAGAATATGTATTTCCGTATTTATTTATTTGTGTATTTAATCATACATTTATTTATGCATTTATTTATTAATTTATACTTATGTCATGTTCCGCCCTCCATAGAGGGCAGCATCACATCATAAAACACTGTCCTGCAGTAAGTGTTCTCCTGCACAGATCTCTGAACTCAACATCATATATTATATAAGTTGATATAAATATAAATGGCCTTAAACCTACAAAATAAAGCTCCAAATAACTGAACGGTCTTTTTTATACCATCAGTAAAAAAAGGCCTATGTCGTTTATATGAATCTATAAATAGCTCTGTGACGTATATGATATGCCGCATAGCCCCAGTGGCCTAATGGATAAGGCACTGGCCTCCTAAGCCAGGGATTGTGGGTTCGAGTCCCATCTGGGGTGAACCGTTTTTGATTTCCAAATGAGCCCTAAACAGATAAACACTAAATTAAGCTGACAGGAAATTGCCCTCTTGCAAACTCAATGTTACTTAAACCTCTCCTACCTCTCAAAGGGACCCGATCATGCCCCTCCCTCTCACTGTCTAAGTGAACGGTGACTGTAAAAACTACACTGCGCATGCTCAGAGTATTGTCCTATTTAGGCCATGTCTCAGGTCGACTATTTTCATTTCCTCGCTCCTCGGTCCTCAGTCTCACCGGAAGTTGATTTGTCTGCGCCATCTTGAGTACCGTCCCATGGCTCTTATTTCTGCCGGAGGAGCGAGGAGCGATAATGGAGGAACGATAATCGAGGAACCACCGATCAATCCTCCGATGAAATCCTCAGATACTCGCCCCGCCCCCTTACTGTGTATCGCTCACTGATTGGACGATGCAGTGCATGCACTGATCTCATGCTTCTTGAGTTCTTGACATAAGAGCAGTTCTCATTCATAACACTCCGTTCGATGTCTCACTATGGGATGCGCCTCAACGCGTATGCAAACAGAAGCATCAATCTCATTACGCCAATCCTGATTGGCTGGTGATCTTGACGTCTATGTCAGGGAATCCACCCACCCTTTAAGTAGCTTGCGCTATGTCGCAGCGTCATTCAAACACCTCTTCTCGCTTCAGAGCACATCTCGAATATCAGTAGCTGGGCTAGCAGACTGAACCCAAGCTAACATTCGGTCGACGGGCGCTTGCCGGTTACTTTTTTGCTTTGCAGAAGAATTGAACAAATATGAACACACCAGTTAATATTGTAATCTGCCCCGCCATTTTTTCTTTCGAAATAAGTAGGGATGCACGATATTGGTTTTTTGAAACCGATACCGATAACGATAACTTCCTGCTTCTCAAGACCGATACCGATAACCGATATAATATATATTAAATGTACCTGTAGTTTTTGCACAGCTGGTGGTAAAAAAAAGACTAGTAGTGAGCAAATGACATGAGCATTACTACTATGAACAAAACAAAGCCAAGAACAGTTTTGACTCTCATCAAGCGCCATCATTTCTATGTTGAAGTTAGAGATCGTTTTAGCCCTGGGGTCGTCTCTGGCAAACTTCTTGCCTTTTTTAAAAGCCTCGTCGATAGGTAAAAGCTCCGGTGCCTTTGCAGCTGGCTTTGGATTCGCCGCTAGTTTAGCAGCGCAGGCGTCTTCGTACGCTTTTAACACACCATCGTAGCGATGGCGATGTTTCAGGTGACAAATCAGGTTGGAAGTATTATAGCTCGTTGCCTTTTTCCCTCCTCGTGGAACTTCTGCATTGCATTTGTTAATACAAATAGCAAGCGAACTATCTAACTCTGAAACTTTGAAATAGTCCGATACTACCGGCGACATGTTTGTTTACTGTCCTGGCTTCACAGCCGCACACCATTTACGTCACAGCCAGGCATGAGTTAAAAAAAAAACTCCCCTCTTCCTAAACCACTAATACCACAGTACTGGCAAAACGGGAGAAGCCGAGTGAAAAACAAGCGCCCCTCATCCCAATCCACCCACACCGCAGTATTTTTTTCTTTTTTTTTACCCCAAAAATATATTGTATATTATCGGGGCTATTAATACTGTTATCGGGTTTATCGGGATGACGTCATAATTCCTAATATCGGACCGATAATTATCGGGCCGATAATTATCATGCACCACTAGAAATAACGGTAAGGTTTGATTTTTTTCTTCAAACAGTAACATACCTGTTGCAAGTTTATCCCTCCGCGCCGACACCACGGCGAGCGGGGACGGACTCTTCTCTCCCTCACACCAGAGGAGACGGAGATAAGAAAGATATTAACACACCAGTTCATATTTTTTAAAGAAAAATCTACCCGTTGTTTTTTCCTTTCGGAATAACGATAAGGTTGGATTGTTTTCGGTAACATACCTGTTACTAGCTTGTCCCTCCGCGCCGACACCCCGGCAAATGAGGATGGACCCTTCTCTCCCTCACACCAGAGGAGTCGGAGGCTCGGAGGCTCGGCTCGGAGGCTGCGGGTTTAGGATCTCGGGCACGGACTCACACCAGGTCTGCTCGTCCTGCCTTGGGCTGGAACACGCCCAGGAAGCTATCGATACATTACATTACATTGCATTTAGCTGACGCTTTTATCCAAAGCGACGTACAATAAGTGCGTTCGACCAACAAAATACAAACTTGAAGAAAACAGAATCATATAAGTACATCAGGTTTCATAGAGCAAAAACATTTCAAGTGCTACTCAACTGGCTTTAGATAAGCCAGTCCTTTATTAGTATATAAGTGCTTTGTTAATAGTTCTATTGCTCGAAGTGGAGTCGAAAGAGATGAGTTGTCAGTCTGCGCCGGAAGGTGTGTAAGCTATCTGCTGTCCTGATGTCAATGGGGAGCTCATTCCACCATTTTGGAGCCAGGATAGCAAACCCACGTGTTTTTGCTGATGGGAACTTGGGTCCCCTTCGCAGCGAGGGTGCAGCGAGCCGTTTGGTTGATGCTGAGCGTAGTGCACGTGCTGGGGTGTACGGTTTAACCATGTCCTGGATGTAGGAAGGGCCAGATCCATTCGCAGCATGGTACGCAAGTACCATTGTCTTGAAGTGGATTCTAGCAGTTACCGGAAGCCAGTGGAGGGAGCGGAGGAGTGGCGTGGTGTGGGAGAATTTAGGAAGGTTGAAGACCAGACGAGCCGCTGCATTCTGGATGAGCTGCAGAGGTCGGATGGCACATGCAGGTAGACCAGCCAGGAGGGAGTTGCAGTAGTCTAGGCGTGAGATGACGAGAGCCTGGACCAGAACCTGCGTGGCTTTCTGGGTCAGCTGGGGACGTATCCTCCTGATGTTGTAAAGCGTGTATCTGCAGCAGCGGGTTGTAGCAGCGATGTTTTCAGTGAAGGACAGGTTGTTATCTAGGATCACACCCAGATTCCTTGCAGTCTGAGTCGGGGAAACAACAGAGGTGCCGATGTTGATTGTTAGGTCAAGAGTGGGACAATCTTTTCCCGGAAGTAAAGGCAGTTCAGTCTTGTCAAGGTTGAGCTTGAGGTGATGAGCAGACATCCACTGAGAGATGTCAGCTAGACAAGCAGAGATGCGTGCGACGACCTGGGTCTCTGAGCGGGGAAAGGACAGAATTAATTGGGTGTCGTCAGCGTAGCAGTGGTATGAAAAACCATGCGGGCTAATGACAGATCCGAGCAAGTTCGTGTACAAGGAGAAGAGGAGGGGACCGAGAACAGAGCCCTGAGGGACCCCTGTAGTTAATTGACAAGGGTCGGACTCCGACCCTCTCCAAGTAACCCTGTAGGTGCGGTCTTTGAGGTATGAGGTGATGAGGGAAAGTGCAGAGCCTGAAACTCCAAGTTCTTGGAGAGTGCGAAGGAGGATCTGATGATTCACCGTGTCGAATGCAGCAGACAGGTCCAAAAGGATGATGACAGAGGAGAGGGAGGCTGCTTTAGCAGTGTGCAGTTCCTCAGTGACAGCAAGGAGGGCAGTTTCTGTGGAGTGACCTGCCTTGAAACCAGACTGGTGCGGATCCAGAAGGTTGTTCTGATGGAGATAACAGGAGAGTTGTTTAAAGACAGCGCGTTCAAGTGTTTTAGACAGGAACGGGAAGCGAGAGACAGGCCTGTAGTTTATAACATCAGACGGGTTGAGAGTGGGTTTCTTTAGGAGAGGGTTTACTCTTGCCTCCTTGAGACTGTTTGGAAAGTGACCAGAAGTTAGAGAAGTGTTGATGAAATGGGTGAGAAACGGTAGAATATCAGGAGCGATAGTCTGAAGGAGGTTTGAAGGGATAGGGTCCAGAGGACAGGTGGTAGGGCGGGCAGAGGTAATGAGGGTAAGAACCTCACTTGGAGAGAGAGGGGAAAAGGAGGTTAGTGTGTGGGTGGAAGGAGGGTAAAAGTGAGTCAGAAAAAGAAAAGCGAATATCAACCTTTTTTTCAAAGTGGTTAACAAAGTCGCTTGACAGAAGGGAG